CTTCTTCTTCTCCTCCTCCTCCACCTCCTCATCCTCCTGTTCCTCCTCCTCCTCCTCCTCTTTTCTCTTCTGCCCCTCATTCCCCTCCTCATTTTCCTCCTCCCTCTCTTCACCTCCATTCCTTCTTCTGATGAATAGCTTCTCATTGTCGCACCCCGAGGCCAGTTTTGAGGGCGGGCCGGGCGTTTCGCTTGTGACGTCGTTACCATCTACGATCATGAAGCTTAGGCGTCGACACCAGCTTCTCAAGTGGAGGGGGGGGTCAATCTGTGGTTGTTGCTTCAGCGCCGCGCACATTTATCTTTTACGTGAAAGCGCGAGAGGTTCGCTGATTGCGGGCGGCTGGTTTTCAACATGTGGCTCCCGCCTTAGCGCCGCGTGCATTCGTTTTAAGAATTTGCAAGAGCTTTGCGCATTGAGGGCGGGTGATTTCCAAAATGTGGCTCTCGCCGTAGCGCCGCGCACATATCTTTCTAAGATTGCAACAACTTCACGGATTGAGAGGGGTTCTAGTTCAACATATAGGTCTCGCCTTAGCGCTGCACACTTCCGTTTATTTCGAACGTTTCAAGGGTGTCAAGGGTTCGCATCACCAACGTACCAGACATTGTGTTTTGGAAGGGTTCATGCTTATGAAGGTGTAACAGTTACGTGGCTTCGCTGTGTTAAAGTCCCAGGAATTGCGTTCTGGCGCGATTCAGGATCGTCACGACCCAACTATCAGGTTGATCCGTGGCGTTTGAATCCCGAGAACGATGTTTTGGCATGCTTCACGCACTTGAAACGGTTGACTTCCAACGAGGCAGTTCCATCAGCGGAAATGAATTATTGTATGGGCCTACGAAGAGGGAGCTTGGAGGAAGGGTGTATTTCAACATTGCTAATGACTTTTGGGTTCATACTGGTCCTCCTCCCTCCTCCCCCTCCTCCTCCTCCACTCCTCCTCCTCCTCCTCCGCCTCCTCCTCCTCCTCCTCATCCCCCTCTTCCTCCTCCTCCTCCCTCCCTCCCGTCCTCCCTCCTTCTCCTCCTCCTCCTCCTCCTCCTCCTCCTCCTCCTCTCCTCCTCCTCCTCCTCTCCTCCTCCTCCTCCTCCTCTCCTCCTCCTCCTCCTCCTCCTCCTCCCTCCCCCTCCTCCCCTTCTCCTCCTCCTCCTCCTCCTCCTCCTCCTTCTCCTCCTCCCCTCCATCTTCCCTCCTCCTCCTCCTCCTCCCCTCCTCCTCCTCCTCCTCCCTCCTCTCCTCCTCCTCCTCCTCCTCCTCCTCCTCCACCACCTCTCCTCCTCCTCTCCCTCCTCCTCCTCCTCTCCTCCTCCTCCTCCTCCTCCTCTTCTCCTCCTCCTCCCCCTCCCCATCCTCTGTCATGATCCTCCAGGTCCTCATCGGGGATGCTGGCACCTCAGCGTCTGTTGACCACGCCGTCGGCGATCACAGGTCGCAGCTATCGGGGGCCACATGATCGCCTACCACATGATCGGTTTGGCTGGATCACGCGATCGTGCGGCCTTGAATCCGTTATCGATCCGTCATCGGCGAGGTCGGGTGGCGTGATCCGCCGAGTGATCAGCAGGACGCCAAGGCTGGCGTCGCGTCGGCGCCGCCCGCCGAGATGAAGGCCGCGTTCTCCGACATGCGCAGCAAGGTCCGCCGGTCGATGGCCAGCCTCGGTCCCGCCGTCGCAGAGCTGATGCAGGCGAGCGGCTCCGAGAAATTGTGCGCTCCGCGGGCGAGGATCAGTGCAGAATGTTCGATTCCAGGTCGCAGCAGCGGAAGAGGAACTACCGATACCGCTGCCCTTCCCTCGCCTCCAGGCAGGAACAAATGCAGAACCATGAACTTTTGGACCTCGGCGTGGATTCCTTGGGTGTGCGCTGGAACCCTCTGGCGCTCTCCGCACGCCAGGGAGTGGTGTTCAGCGCAGCTCCAAGGTATCCGTTCAGACCTCCGAAAGGTTTTGTTTCTGCAGTTGTTTCTTCCTGCATCGTCGCCACGGCTGGATTCGGTTCGAAACCCTGGGCAGAACACACCCCAGGAGAGGTTCGGGGAGCAGCGGTATCGGTTTTTGTTCAGCAGCGGGGGGCGATAAATGGAGGGGGGGAAGGATGGTGCACCTTTTGGGCCCCAGAGGGGTCCCCTCGGGCCCGCAGGAGGCACGAGAGGTGCACAGTTCTCCCCACCCCATTGTCACCACCCACCAAGCCACCCCCACCAAGCTCCAGTGCTTCAATCTGCCCTCCATTCCCAGCGGGGGTGTGGGGGGCGTCGGGGAACATCGAACAAACACATGCGGAACCCGCAGCTACACCCCGCGACCCGAAGCTGGGGTCTTCGACTTAGGTTGGGGGGTCAGGTAGGTAGACAACATGGGATTTGTCGCCCCCCCTATATGTCATCTTCGGAAGGGGTAGGACGAGGATAAATCCGTTCCAGAGCGTTCCAGAGCGCTCTGAGAAGACCGCGGTGCCCGACACATCCTCCAGAGCCGCCGGATCTCAGGGATGCTCGACCTGTCCCCACCCGATTCTATCCTCGTCCTGGCTTCGTCTTGCACTCGTCGCCCCCCCACGAACCAGCACGCCGGAGGGGGCCGCCCTCGCCCCTCGCCCAGGCGAACGGCGGCGAGTCGCTCGGGGACCACGGAGGCGTGGGGCCCCCGCGGCGCTGGGGCGCCAGGGCGTGGAGGGAGGGTCGGAGGATCGAGGATCGGAGGTTCGAGGATCGATCGAGGATCCAGAGTCGAGGATCGTGGAGGAAGGATCGAGGATCGGAGGATCCCAGGATCCCAGGATTCCAGGATCGAGGATCGAAGGATCCAGGGTCAGAGGATCGAAGGATCGAGGATCGATCGAGGATCGAGGATCGAGGATCGAGGATCGATCGAGGATTGAGGATCACCCCTTCCCAAACATGCTCGCGTCGTGGAACAGCTCACGACGGAAGGTTTTGGGCCGTTTTCTGCCACTGGGGCCCTCGCCGGGCCTCGAGACCGTCAACAAACGACTCGGGATGAAGGACCGGCCTTGGGGAGAGGGTCGGAGCCTGGGGCGACCGCGCATCGGCAAATCGAAACATTGAACGTCTGGGTTTCCGATCCGATCGGTCCGATTTGATTTCGACGTCGTTGGTTCGAACCGATTCAATTCCGATATTCCGAAGATCCGATGCGGGTCGATCTTCACATGGACGTCGTTGCGTGTCCTGACGCATCCCGTGGCGACTCAACCCGATTCGATCCGATTTCGTGGTTCGATGCTGATCGTTCCTGAGTTTGGATCTCTGCGTCCGGGAGTGTGGCATAGATGGTGCATTTATATCGGGATGTCGCTGCCATTTCAGCTGACATGGCAAAGGCTGGGGTATCTTTTCTTCGCTTATTACGTTGCAAGCCATCGTGCGACGCATGTCTGACGATACCCCGAAGCAACGTGCAAGAGTTCCAGTCGCGTTTCTGCACTTCGCCAAGTTGGCTTTACCACCTAATCGAAACGTTGCCGTCTTCTTCGAGTGGAGCGCTGCACTGTTGGGTAGCCTCACTCGTTCGATTCAGCTCAGGCGCTTTGTCCAGTGTGTCGCCTCATGGAATGGCATGCGATTCCGGCCCCTCGTGCCGTGCTCGAGGTCTTTTGCCGCCAAGTGCCTTCATCGAGCAGCCGCGCCACGGATCACCTTCGGCGCGTGGTCCTGCCCGGATTCGCCTGAGCTCGTTGGAGGACGTGCGTTCGAAGGTTGCCAAGCCCAAGCAGAGGGTCGGGCCTCCTGCTCGAGATTGCTGCGCTGGGGCGAAAACAGATGACATCGAACACGGAGGGCTTGCGCGCATCAGTGTCATGGGCGCGCCGCTGGTACAAGATTCAGGCCGGCAGCTTTGAAATCTGCTTGCTGAGGGAACACGCGCGCACGACACGGCAGAGATCATATTGGTTTTGTGCGTATGCGGGGAGACCCGCCGAGAGCGGTTGGCGTGCGCTGACGCGTACCCACGAGAAGTGCGCGGATGGCAGCAACGGCCCGTTTGGTCGGACATGTGAGCGCGTGCACGTGCAGGACTTCCCACTCATTCTCGGGTTCTCTTGTGCCTTCGGCCAGAGTAGGCTTGGTGACTCGCCCCGCATCACAGGCTGGCGCATCGATTTCCCCTGGTGCATTCGATTGGTCATCTGCTGTCGCCGACGTTCTCCGCAGAGGAGTGCAGGCTGAAGCGCGCCAGCACTACTTCTATCAGCACCCATGTCATGGAGGATCGAGATTGGCGCGGAAACAATGAGGACGAAGGCCGACAGCAGTTCCTGCCGATTTGGAACAGGACTCGCTGTTGGCGTCGCCGCGGGCGTTCTCCATTGGAGACGATCGTTTGCCCAACAGCGGCTGCGGATGTTGAGCATTGCTCTCAGTTCTCCGTGCCCACTTCGGGCGTGCCAGCATGGCCTCTTGCAGCGCCGCCTTTTGCGGACACAGGCAGCAGAGCCCTCTCGTCGAGAGGCAGATCCGTGGTGGCACCCCCCGGGCTTTGCGTGCTGCGCCGTTTCGTTATTGCGGCGGCCGGCACGCTCTGTGGAGCAGCTTCACGGGGCGGCTCGTCCGGATCGACAGCGACGTCGGCGTGCAGCTGCAGATGAAGTTGGCAAGATGAAGTCACAACAGGACTATTTCAGCAGATATCGGGGATGATCTGCCCCAGTCGTTTTTCAGCGCTTACTTTCACCATCCTGCCATTCCTGGATACGGACAGACTTGCACGCGAGATTCGATATCGTAAGAGACTTGAGTAATTTTCTCCTGGAAGCGCCGCCGCACAACGGATACTGCACGATTATGGTTGAATTGACCAGCTGTGCCTCTTGCCCGTGCATTTTGCGAACGACGCGTCCCGGCCGATCGTACATGACACCAGCGATGCATAGTTGTGCCAAGCTGTCGCACTTTCTCCAGCAGTGCCCAGTGTGTTTGCGCATGGTTACCATTTCCTGCCCTTCCATCCCATTTCCCTCTCTGCTTCCTCCGCCCGCATGTGCTTGCATGAGTTTTTGTTACATGGCCCGTCATTGTATCACGTGGCTCAGATGGATGTCAAGATTCTGGAACAGACTCAGAGGAGAAGGATTAGGAGGAAGAGGGGGTGTGAGGGGGAGGAGGGAGAGGAAGATGATGATGAGGAAGAGGATGAGGAGACGGAGCAGGAGGAGGACGAAGAGGAGGGAGGAGGAGGAGGCGGAGGAGGAGGAGGAGGAGGAGGAGGAGGAGGATTTTAGAAATATTGCGAATTAGGGAGTCTGCGCTTGATGCAGGGCACGGGACGGGAAAAAGTGGATGGGGAACGGGAAAGGGGGGAAGAGAGTAGAGGGGAATCGAGATCGCTTGGCTTTGGCGTTCCTGGGCCTTCAGGGGGTCCACTGACATTCACTCGGAAGCTCCAGGTGCCCACTTCCCAAAGGTTCCTCTACTTACTGCTGTCGCTGCTGCTGTCACCTTCCCCGTCAGGCCTTCGATAACGGAAATCCCCGATCCTCCACTCTTCCGTCGTCTTCCTCCCTCGCTGCCTGCCTGCCTCGTGCTCCGCCCTCCCTCGTCGCCATCGTCGTCGTCATCCTCCGTCATTTCTCGTCGTCGTCCTCGTCGTCGACCTCCTCCCTCCCCCTTCGTTTACGTCCACATCCGAAGATTCGAAGGTCTGGAGACCCGATGTGCTGCTGTTCATGTCGTCACGTCTTCATGTCGTCGGCCAGGGCAGCATGTCTTCAGGTCGTCACGTCTTCATGTCGTCGGCCAGGGCAGCATATCTTCAGGTCGTCACGTCTCCATGCCGTCGGCCAGGGCAGCATGTCTTCAGGTCGTAACGTCTTCATGTCGTCAGCCAGGACAGCATGACTTCAGGTCTTCACGTCCTCGTGTCGTCGGCCAGACCAGCTGGTCTTCAGATCGTGGTTGCGACAGGCTTTCAGATCTTCAATCGTTCAGATCTGCAAGTCGGGATTGAGGAGAGCGTATCTTCATGTCTTCATGTCGCCGGGCGATCGCGGAACCCGTGGCCAAAGCACTGGTATTGCATGCATGCGTGCTCGCATGTTACGACTCCTCGGTCCTTCATCCTCCACCTCCCACCCTCCACCCTCCTCCCCCTCCTCCTCCTCCTCCTCCTCCTCCTCTTCGCCTCCTGCTTCTACTTCATCGCCCTCATCTCTTTGCCCCTTCGCCTACTACACCCCCTCATCTCTCCTTCTCTGCATTCCCTCCTCGTCTCACTCGCCTCTTCCTCTCGTCCTCCTTCCCTTCACACCCCTCCTCCTCGCCCACCACGGCACCGTCCCGAGTAGCCCCTGCTCCTCATAGCCACTTGCGTTGCCCGCTAGTTCCCTTGCTTTTCTTTGCGGCCGACAGAGAATGCTTGCGCGATTTGTGTAGACGGTGACACCGCGGGTCAGCGTTAGTTCAGCGGGAGTCAATGAAGCGCGTCATCGTGCTGCCGTGAATCTTATAATATTGAAGCCCTTGCCACTAGCCAGGATATCGCAAGCCGTCCAAACGTCGCGTCTTCGCTGTCTTTCCTCCTCGCCCGCTCCTCCTCCTCCTCCTCATCCTCCTCCTCCTCCTTCTCCTTCTCCTCCTCCTCCTCCTCCTCATCCTCCTCCTCATCCCCTCCTCATCGCTTTCCTCGCCCCTCCTCCTCCTCCTCCTCCTCCTCCTCCTCCTCCTCCTCCTCCTCCTCCTCCTCCCTGCTCCTCCCGCCCCCTTCTCCCGCCTCCCTCCCTCTCGCACATCATTGCCCTCCCCCCTGGCCCCGTCACCCCCCACCTACACAACAGGAGCACTGCTCTCCTCTCCCCCATGGACGTCGCCAGAGTGGCCCGCCCCCCCCCCCCCGGCCGGCTCTTTCGTTCCACAGGGATTGGTACGAGCCGGATTTCAGTCCGAGCAGCGTTACCGGTTCCTCCGAGACGTTTCTGCGCTTCAGCGTGGGCCGCGCTTTGTGGTCGGCGTGTTGCTCCCGTCGTTCGGGCTGGCGCTCTCGTCCCAGCACGGGCCAGTTTTCTGGGTCCGAGTCCTTCCTCGTCCATGTCTCCCCGCTCATTATCCGTTCTCCGCTTCCCCATGGTTCTCGTGTTCTTCCCAGTCTTGCTGCTCCTGCTGCTGCTGCTGCTGCTTCTGTTCGTTCTCGTCCTCCTCCTTCCTCTTCCTTCCCCATCTCTTGCTCATCCTCCAGCTCATCCGCCACCTCCTCCTCCGCCTTCTCCATCCCAATGCAGGCTGCGCCCCTTCCTGATTGCGACTGACACGATGGTGTCGTTTGGGTGGCTTGCGGGCCCGCTCTGTAACCCGTCGGCTGACTGAACAAAACAACAGCGCAATGTGGGGTGATGGGTGGAAGAGGTATGGATCAACACATCCTCCAGACCCGCTGGCTATCAGAGATTCTTGGTCCATCTTCATCCTCCCTTCGTCTTATTTCTCCCTCCTCCCCGTCCCCCCCCCCGTTGGGGTGCATTTTCTGGGAGGTTCAATTCAGTATCGGCGCTGGTATATCCGCTGTCGAAAACAAGCCGAATCTGGCATGATCCCGCGAATTCCGCTTAACCCCGCTTGGTCCAATTCCGGGATTTCTCCTGAGCCTAGTCGGGCGTGGCCCGGCCTGTGGCTTCCTCTCATCGCGATAATCCGGTAACCCTCAGTCGCGATTGCGATGACCTCTCAGGAGTTGCCTCGTAAGTCTTCTTGCTCTCTCCTCTCCCGCCCCCGAGCCAAACGCCGAGGCCTCAGCAGTCGGGGGGGGCTGAAGCCCCCGCCCTCGGCGCCCGCGACCGAGAGCATGGAGCTCAAGAGCCCCCCCCCCAGCCGCCGCGCGGCCGCCACCCTAGAACACAATGAGAACCCCTAGCCCGAATAACACAATCGAAGGCGTAGCCTAAGTTGGGCCTTGGCTTTTGCGGCAGTGATGGAGAATATGGGCAGTTCTGTTGATGCATCTGCAAACACAGGCCCCCTATCCCCAGAGCGTTGAACATCCTAGCTTAGGTCCCGCCGAATCGTCCTGTCCGCGGGCCCGACCGCCTGGTGTCGCCATGGTCGTCCTCGTCGTCGTCTTGGTCGTCCTCGTCGTCGTCGTTGTCGTCCTCGTCGTCGTCGTCCTCGTCGTCGTCGTCGTCCTCGTCGTCGTCGTCCTCGTCGTCGTCGTCGTCGTCCTTGGTCGTCCTCGTCGTCGTCGTCTTGGTCGTCCTCGTCCTCGTCGTCCTCGTCCTCGTCGTCGTTGCTGCCGTTGCCATCGTTGTCGCTCCCTCATCCGCATGCCAGAGACATCACGGCCCCAGTCTTCTCGGCCGTCTCCGGCCTCCCCTCGGCGTCGGCCCCCGGGATCGTCAAACAACAACAGCTCGTGATGACACGCGGGCCCCACCGGCAGTGCCTCCGCGCGCCCGGGAGGGGGCCCCCGCGCCGATCCGAGAAGTCCGCGCGGATCGTCGAAAGTTTATGCCTATGCCGTTTTCCTTCCTATGGGGATGATTGGGCTCCCTGCCGCCTCACCCCATTCCACGGATCCCGCTCTTCCTCTGCAGCCACCCTGGGTCTGCGAGGGGCCACCTTGGGTTCACGAGGGGCCTTGGTGATCCCGTGGCCGAGGCTTGCCGTGGCAATAGATGCCTCCTTCCCTATTCAGGGTTCCTTCTGGTAGCGCGATGGCTGCAGCCTCCTGGAGGGCCCAGACAAGTCTCCTGGAGGGCCCAGACATTCCCGGCATCGGTTTGTGATTCAACACGGGTTCCAGCCGACCCTTTCTCCCAGGGCCGGCTGTTCGTCCTGAGTCTTTTTGGACGGTCCTGGGGCCTTGGCAAGGGTCCCCCGAGGCCGAAAATCGCGAACAACGTATTCACACCCTGGCTTTTGTGGGACGCTGTCCTCCTCTTCCTCTCACCTCTACGTCCTCCTCCTCGGCCTCCTTCGCCTCCTCCTCCTTCTCTTCCTCCTCCTCTGCCTCTGCCTCCGGCCTCCACCTCCTCTTCCTCCTCGTCGTCCTCCTCCTTCTCCTCCTCCTCCTTTCTGCGTTGCGCCAACTTGAGTCCTCGGGCTGTAGCGTTCTACCTCCTCCTCCTCCTCCTACTGCTCTTCCTCCTCCTCCTCCTCCTCCTCCTCCTCGTCCTCCTCCTCCTCCTCCTCCTCCTCCTCCTCCTCCTCCTCCTCCTCCTCCTCTACTGTCTTAGAGCGAAGGGTGATACAGCAGACCAGGGCGGATGGCAAGAAAAGGGCGCCCAGAATGAAGAGGCCCCGCCTCCGGCCTGGCAGGCTCCTGGGCCTCGGGTTGGGTGGAGGCGGGGGGGGGGCAGGCGGGCCAGAAGTGCCAGGCGTTACCTGGGCGCCCAGCAAGGGCGATCCACAGGCCAGCGGCGGCGACGGCGGGTGGAGGCAGCGGCAGCGACGACAGAAACGGCGACGACGGCGGGGGCAGCGGAGATGGCGGCGGCCCTGAGGAGGAGAGGGTACCGATACCGCTGCCCTTGCCTCGTCTTCGCCTTGCTGGCCTCCTGGGAGGCCTTCGTCGCCACTGCTACATTCGCCTCGAGTTCTGGTCACAACGCACCTTGGGAGAGGTCTGGGAGTAGCGGCATCGGTTTCTTTTAGTTCCCCCAACGGCGGCGGCGCCGGCGACGACGCTAACTGCAACACCAGAATCAAGGACGACGACAAAGACGATGGCGGAGGCGGAGGCGGCGGCGGCAGTAGTGGGCGGGCGCGCGCGCCAAGGAAGTTTTCGAAGAGCAGCGCCGTGAGGGTCACCCGGCGGCGCGACGAGAAGCCAAAATCTTCGCATGGGCATGGGTGCGCGCGCGCCGCCGCGGAGGGATCACGCCTTGTCGCGGTCCCATCCCCAGCACGCTCTATCTCGGGGCTCTCTCGTGAACCGTTGTCCCGCGATGTCTCTCTCTCTCTCTCTCTTTCTCTCTCTCTCTCTATCTCTCTCTCTCTCTCTCTCTTTTTCCCTCGCGTGGCCCTCTCATGGGCCCTATCGTGTGCCCATGCCTCCCAGGAGGAGGGAGGGACGCCGGAGAGGAGGGGGAGGAGGATGAAGGCGGGAGAGGGGGAGCGGGAAAGTTCAGATCGCGCCAAGATCACGAGCAGTCGGCACCTAGGGTCACAATGATTGGGTTCACGAAGCGTACTGATACCGTCACGGCTGCTTCTCGTACAACTGTCACGGTGCAGGATGCTGTCACTGTTTTGGACTGATCTGTGCGGACAAGCTTCGACGTGACCACTCGTAGAAGGAACGACGCACCCGCGATCCACTATTGTGACGCTGTTGCGGTAGCGGAGAAAACGGACCGTCGCAGTGGTTCGGCCCAAGAGGACGGCAATTCGCTGCCGCCAATCGCGGGGCGGCGAGCGTGCACAGCCCGTGTCACGGAGATAGCTCCGGTGCCAGGTGAGGCTTGCCATCTGCTGCAGCAGACGCGACAGCTGTGGCCAGTGCCTTCCACAGAAGTCAGGTGCAAGGCTTAAGTCGGGCCTGTCCCCATACAGGGGGATTTTCGACGGAAAATATAAATACCCCAAACATGCCCCAAAAAGGTGTAAAAATACAAAAAAATAGTCCCCAGACTGGTTTTCGACTATTTTTTGATTTATTTTTGGTGTATTTTTTATTTTTCGTCGGAAATCCCCTGTAGGGGGACAGGCCCGATTTAATGGAAGGCCCTCTGCACACTTGTGCCGCCACGGGCTCCATAGTTTCTTGCTTTCGCAGCCTGGGCAGCGGTTGCGCCAGCACCGGCGGTCGCCGAAAATGGCCGCGGCGATGGTGCGTGCTGACGGCGGTTCTGCGTGCTATCGCTACCGCTATCTGCGACTGCTGCTGCTGCACCCACTGCGGCTGCTAGGGTCAGGGGGAATGCCTCATTGTTCAAGCGAGATCGTGAGACGACGATGGGACGACGATGGCGCATACCACGCTCGTGGAAGGATCTCTAAGGATGCCCTAACAATACAGACGGATGTCACACGGATCCTCTAGACCAGGAACGCTTCCTTCAGGAATCCTAGTGGCGTCATTTGGACTCTTCAGGATCAGCCAAGGAAACCAAGGATGTTTTCAAGAACTTCCAGGGAATTCTCGGATGCCCTCAGGTTTCTCCAATGATCTCAGGATTCCCCAAGACAGTTTAAGGAACCGTAGCGCTTCTCCAAGGGATTCTTGGGATGTCCTATTAAGGATGTCGTGAAAACGCCGACGGAGTTCTTATGAAACTGTTGGTGGAAGCCGCCAGATTTCTTTCTAGGTGCTCGAAGGATGTGATGACGACGCCCCCATGACGAAGCCCCCATGGCCATGTGACGCATCTGTTCATTTATCATTTGGTTTGTTCCCCGAGGCCTTCGAACTGAAAATTGGCGGCCTACTTTGTGGGTGGGCCCGTGCTCGAGGACGGCACAATGAACTTCTCAGCGAACTTGCGCCCAGGAATCAGTGGCGGGATCGCGGTGTGAGGCAAGCGGTACAAGGTTCAGGTGCAGTGCCACGGCAAGGATGGGCATGTTCGGGTGCAACTCCTGGGAGGTCAAGTTCTGATTTTGCCCTGGTCCGAAGTCCCGCTTAAGCCGGCCTAATCCCGCTTAATCTGGTTCATTCCAGCCTAATCCGGCTTAATGCCGTTTAATTTGCGGCCTGATCCGGCGAAGCAGCCCCCCCAAAGGGAGCTTAATCCTCCTTATAATTTTCCCGACGAAGACCTCCCAGTAGTTGCCTCCTAACGCATAGCCAGCTCGGTGCGAAGAGGGCCGTCGTCTGCTGCGGGGGCAGCCGAGCAGGCGGGCACCACCGGACAGTGACTGCGAAGGCTGGGAGCCTGAGCGCGCCGGTTCTCGACGGGTGCGCGTCGCATCGAGGGCTTCGCCTGCGAAGAGCCGAGAGGTTGAACTCTCGCCCTCGGATGGATGCTGGTGGAGGCTGGCGGGAAAGACGTCGGCAGATCTGCCGGCGGAGGGCTGGCGGAAGGTAGCCAAAGTGGAAGTCCGTGCGGCAAGAGGTCTCAGCGCAAGCCCATTCGGAGTCCCCAGGCACGTGCGGCCGACCACAGACCAATGTGCAGCATCTGTAGGACTTGTTCGAACAAGGCTCTCTGTTGTTCCTGCGTTGTGGAGCGTCATAGCGTTACGCGGTTTTGTCATGGCAGCTCGCATACTGTTTCATGTATTATTCAAAGGCGGCGAGCGAAGGATCATAAGATGAAAGATGCGAGGGTAATGGAGGAGGATGTCGTCAAATTGGTGGACGACGAGGATTGGTTTGAGAGCACATGCGTCAAAAAAAGCGTTGGTGCGATATGTCGACCACGCCAAGAATGTCACAACGGACCGCTCAGCGAAAGAATTGATCAGCCTTGCCAGGGACGGGTGCAACGGGGATTGTTCAGTCTGGCTTGGATGATAGCACCTCAACTGGGTGGAAGGTACAGTGTCGGATATGTGTGTCCACGAGGTCTGTGACATCGGCACGATCGACCACGTGGCACATGTTGCGAAGCGCTTCTTCTAAGAAACCGAGCTTCATTGTTCATCCTCGAGCCAATGAGTCCGTTTTTCGGAGCGGCATGGTTGAGATCGCTTTTGCCGTCCCATGGCAGGAGCCCGCTGCAATTAGTTGGTTGACCGCGGCCTATTCCGCCAACGCGCTTGGGGAGCCCCTGGTTGTTCTTTCGGTGGCCTCAGGTCTTGTCGAGTCGTCTTGGGCGAGGAAGGTCCTGGGCACTTGCCCCAGCACGCCCTTTCAGGAGAAAAGCCATATTACCGCATAGACTGCCCGTTGGGCGATACGGCGGAGGTCGGGTGGGCGACATTGGGTGGCATTATTGCTTCTTGGCACCAGTGGACACGCATCGGAACGTCACTATGTTTTTGCATGTATCCATTTCTATCTATGTATGTTCAATACACATGTGTGCTTCCATACTACTATTCGGTTTAAACTGTTGGTCATATTCCCTGAGCAACTAACAGGACAACCATCGGGTCAACCGTGGGATCCATCAATCAAACGACCTGACTACCTATATGTATCATGATATACCAATCGATCTCAATATCAATATATATATATATATGCCGATATCATGACCTATCGATCGGAACTACCATCGGGACAACTAAGGCGACGACAATCGGGACAACCGTACGATCTACCCATCTTTCTACCAGTCTCAGCACTAACCTGTCTCAATCTATGTGTATCGATCTCGCTATAAATATGCATGACGGTATCGCCATCTGTCTATCGGGACACACATCGGGACAACTATCGAGCCAACCACCCGGACAACCATCAGGACGACCATCATGACAACCGACGGGCAACCAGCGGGACAAATTTCAGAACAACCATCGGGGCAACCATCGGGACAACCATCGGGACGACCATCGGGACAACCACCGGAACGACCATCGGGACAACCATCGGGACAACCATCGGCAGAGCCATCGGGACAAGCATCGGGACAGCCATCTGGACAATTGGCGGGGCAACCGACGGGACAAGCATTGGGACAACCATGGGACAACCATGGGGGCAACCATCGTGACAACCAAACAGGATAACAATCGGGAGAACCATCGGGACACCTGCATTGAGTGTATTCTGAATGCCTTCCGACGGGCGCCAATGACCTTGAATACGGGACGGCGACGACGACGACGACGACGACGGCGGCGGCGGCGGCCAAACACTCACAGAAAATCACTGTTTCTATCCTCTTGGGATTGTCTTGGGAGTGCTCTTGGGGCTCTCTTGGGCCTTCGGGGAGCCTCTTTGGGGCTTCTCGGGCGCCTCTTGGGGCCTCCTTGGGGCCTCTTGGGGCGGAAGGCTCCAACTGTCGTTCGGTGTTCCCCCGCTCGAGAGCTCTCGAGGCCCTCTTGGGACCTTCTTCGGCTGTCTTGGTCTTGGGGCCGTCTTGGGGCGTCTTCGGACGCTTTCGGCAGCCTCCAGGACCGTCTTCAAGCGATGTTGGTGGCTTCCTGGGCCGTCTTGGGGCTACGTGGTCGGAGAGGGAGCGTCACAATCTCCGGCCCCTGCCTCCGAGACCACGCTCCCCAGAGGAGAGAGGGATCAGGTAGAAGGGGTCTCCCCTGCGGGACCCCCCCCCCCGCGGGACGCCCCCCCTGGGACCCCTTACCCCCCCGGCGGGGGAGAGATCGAAGTGGGGGGCCACATGCGAACCCTACCCCTACCCCCCACGATTTCTGAGGGGGAGGGTGGGGTTCACTTCACTCGGGAGCTCCCGAGCGAAGTGAACCCCACCCTCCCCCTCAGAAATCGTGGGGGGTAGGGGTAGGGTTCGCATGTGGCCCCCTACAAAGGGAAGGGTCTTCCCTTCGACTCGATTACGACGTTGCTCGATTTCCCTTTGGCTGTGACCTGTCAGGAGAAGGGCCCAGGGACAAGGGGGGAGCGGCGGCGGCGACGACGACGACGACTCAAAGGAAAGTCCCTTCACACGCCGTCAGGGTCTGCGACGTCTGGTCAATCGGGACATCCTGAGGGCTCCCGGGAACAATGGGCCAGACCGGGAGCGCTCCAATTTGGTGCGATTTGGCTTCAATTCGCGCATCTTCGTCTGACCTCGCCTGCACACGCGTCGCGCACGAAATGAAACCATTTTCCTGATGGGGCACCTCGCGTTTCTTCGGACTCACCCCCAAAGCTCCGATACAGCTTTCGGGCTCGGGGGAGCCTGGCCAGCCACACCCCAAAGAGAGCATCGACGCCCACAGTTGTCGTCACTCCTTGGGCACGCGACGGTCGAGGGTGACGGTGGTGGTAAATTCCCAACCCACGCACACAGAGCTCACATGTCCGCAC